TGGTGGTGCTTTGTTCAGCTCCTCTAGGTGGTGCTTTCTTCCAATCCTCTAGGGGGTGCTTTCTTCAAATTCTCTAGGGGTGCTATCTTCAAATCCTCTAGGGGGTGCTTTCTTCAAATCCTCTAGGGGGGTGCTTTCTTCAAATCCTCTAGGGGGTGCTTTCTTCAAATCCTCTAGGAAGGGTGATGGTGCTTTCCTCAAATCCTCTAAGGTGGTGGTACTTTCTTCAAAGCCTCTAGAAAGGGTGGTGGTGCTTTCCTCAAATCCTCTAGGGGGGTGGTGCTTTCTTCAAATCCTCTAATTGGGAAGACATTTTCATTTATCTTTTTTTTTAAAATTTGTTGTGCATTATTGGTTTGTGTTGTGTGTATTAATTGGTGGTGTTGTGTGTATTGAAACGTTGATCTTAACTAAGGGTCTGTGTATTTATGGGTTGTGTTGTTTGTATTAATGGTTTTTGTTGTGTGTATTAATGGGTTGTGTTGTGTGTATTAATGGTGTTAGGAACTTGAATGCATGGTGTGATTAGCGTGTTGTGTTTTGAGATTATGTGAGTTGTTTTATCTATTATTCTTAGTATCTTGTGACGTATTGCGCGAAAGTGGATATGACGTAGAGTAGTTAGTGTGTTGGGGTTGTGGTGAGAAATTGCAGTTGAAGCTGTAACTTATTTATGTAATAAAGATATTTAAAATGACAATAATGGTTGGTGAAGTATATGTTATTTAAACCCCCTGGACAACGAAGCCAACGAACCCTGTAAGTAAGACGCGGTTCGTAACAAATGGGTTGTGTTGTTTGTATTAATGGGTTGATCTTAACTAAAGGTCTGTGTATTAATGGGTTGTGTTGTGTGTATTAATGGGTTGTGTTGTGTGTATTAATGGGTTGTGTTGTGTGTATTAATGGGTTGTTTTGTGTGTATGAATGGGTTGATCTTAACTAAGGGTCTGTGTATTAATGGGTTGTGTTGTTTGTATTAATAGGTTGTGTTGTGTTTATTAATGGCTTGAGTTGAATGTATTAATGGGTTGTGTTGTGTGTATTAATGGTTTGGTCTTAACTAAGGGTCTGTGTATTAATGCGTTGTGTTGTGTGTATTAATGGGTTGATCTTAACTAAAGGAATGTTTATTAATGGGTTGGGTACAACCAAGGATTGTTTTGGGTTCCATTGTTAAATAGGCTCACCAATGGGGATCGTGGCAAGGACCATTGGGTGCGATGTGCCTAAAGGGGGCAAATACCGATGGTTCTTGATTTATAAGAGCTGTTGCAGGATGATGTGGCGGCTATACATTAGGTGTCCTTCAACTAAGAGCAAATCCAGACACTCTTTTAAATATGCGGACTTCCACATTTAAGAATAGCTAATGGGTCAGTTATTGTCTTTCTGATAGACGCGTGTATTTTTTGTCGTAGTCAGATTGTTTTTGAAACAAATATTTAGTAAACGGGGCAATAACAAAAATTTCAATCGAATTTCTAAAGTCACGTGATTGCGGGCTGGGGTGTTTACAGTTTCTAAAGTCACGTGATTGCGACTGGGTGTGTGCACTTTCTGAAGTGACATGATTGTGACTGGGGTGTGTGCAGCTTCAAAAGTCATGTGATTGCGACTTGGGTGTGTGCAGTTTCTGAAGTCAATTGATTGAGACTGGGGTGTGTGCAGTTTCTGAAGTCACGTGATTGCAACTGAGATGTGTGCAGTTTCTGAAGTCACGTGATTGCGACTAAGGTGTGTGCAGTTTCTGAAGTCACGTGATTGCGACTGAATTGTGTGAAGTTTCAAAAGTCATGTGATTTCGACTGGAGTGAGTGCAGTTTCTGAAGTCATGTGATTTCGACTGGGGTGAGTGCAGTTTCTGAAGTCACGTGATTGCGACTGGGGTGTGTGCAGTTTCAAAAGTCATGTGATTGCGACTGGGGTGAGTGCAGTTTCTGAAGTCATGTGTTGTGACTGAGGTGTGTGCAGTTTCTGAAGTCACATGATTGCGACTGGGGTGTGTGCAGTTTCAGAAGTCACGTGATTGCGACTGGAGTATGTGCAGTTTCTGAAGTCACGTGATTGCTTCTGAGGTGTGTGCAGTTCCTGAAGTCACGTGATTGCGACTGAGGTCTGTGCAGTTTTTTTTGGGGAAAATAATGTATTTTTTTGGGGGCTTGTCCTTTGTTTTGTTTTGCTTTTTACGTTCATTTATGAATTTCTTCTCCCCTTCCAGGTTTTTTCACCGTTTGCCCTGATGACGTCATACCATGATGTGTCCTTGTCATGTGCATTGGACCTTTCACTCGGAGAATCTTCGTCAAAATTGTGCTACTATTGAATTCATTTATATTTAAGAAGATGGCGAAATGAGACAGGGGGAAATAATGAACAAGATTTTTGTTTTTACCAAAGTCGGTATTTTATCACCTTCATTCAGATGAAGGATTTCGTTTACATTTTTTTTTAGTGTAAATCTCAGCACTGAATGCAGTGAGTAAGTGTTTGAAGTGATTCTTTTGACATGTGTGATGCTGAGTTAGAGCTGGCTCAACTATTTCAATTCGAATTAATTAATTTTTTTCTTTAATACTGAATAATAATGAATCTTTTGGCCAGTTGATGCCCTTTACTTTTTATCCCAAAACTTCAACAACCTGCTCCAAAATATAATTTTTTAAAAAGTTTAGACGTCTTTAAAAATTGTAAGTTTAAAAAAATAAATAATTATTCGCTCCTTATTTTATAAAAGTATTCTGTACACAAGACGATTCTCGGATAAGACTTCAACACGCCCAGCAGGATATGGGCTTGTAAATCTTAAAGATCTTATGATCTTTCCATGATCATCGAATCGCCGCCATGGATCTGTCCTCACAGCGACACTTGCATTTCCTGGAAGTCATCCTCGTGAACCTGCTCATTCTGCTGCCACTTCTCCTTAATGGGGAAGTCGTCTTGAAACAGCTGAGCGAGCGGGTCATCACCACACGCTACGGAAAGGTCCGAGGCTTGCTCGTGGAGTTCCCGAACAGGCATCTCCGTCCTGTGGAGGCGTACCTTGGACTGAGATATGGAGATCTGGATTCGGGCGGGATGAGATTCATGCCGCCCAAAAACCCCAAGGAAATGTGGAACAGGATACGTGTGGCGGTCAAGCATCAGCCCGTGTGTCCACAACCGAGGCGCCACGAGCGGGAGTACAGCCAGCAGTTACCTGAGGGCAGGGTAGCCCACTTACGGAATATTACCCCATTTTTAACAGAGCAGAAGGAGGATTGTCTCAACTTGAATTTATACGTGCCTATACAAGGTAGGGATGCATGTCACTTGACCCTTTTAATTATCTGTACAGCACTTGTACATTCTCAAGAAATGTTAGTAGTTACGGTTGCTAGAGTCAAGGTCATGTAACTCCCACCCCGTCCCCATGCCAAGTTTCTCATAAATCTTACTGAAGTGTCTTTCCTGTGTTTTATTAATATCTTTGAAAAAGAAAAATACGTTTATGTCATTGTTTAAATAGTAAAATATCTGTCTGTTAATTTTTACTATTTTTATCCCGTACATTTTCATATCTTTTGATTTCATTTTGTGACTTCTTATCTCCTCCACGAAGTTAAAACATACAATTTAAATCAATCTTAAAATTACTAGTAACTTTGTCCTTCCCATTTACTTACTTCAGATTTGTTCTCTTTCCTTACACATTTAATCTTAAACTATTCAAAGTGAACATATTTTTTTTACATCGTGCCATAAATCATGCCATAAATCATGCCATAAATCATGAAATAAATCTTGACATAAATCTTGACATACATCATACCATAAATCATGACATAAATCTTGACATAAATCTTGACATATTTCTTGACATAAATTTTAATCATACCATAAATCACGAAATAAATCATGCCATAAATCATGCCATAAATCATGCCATAAATCATGAAATTAATCTTGACATAAATCATGACATAAATCTTGCCTTTGGATCCTAATCGTTTTGTCGCTTGCTGAAGTTTTAACATTCCTATGAACAAATTATTTTGCCTGCACTTTAACTATCAAATACGACGATACAACTGGATAAAAAAAAGGAAGAAAAAATCAAATGACTGAATAAAATGACAAGTAAATAACTGAGTAAAATGACAAGTCAAATGCCTGAATAAAATGACAAGTCAAATGGATGAATAAAATGATACGAAACGAAAGTAGAAGCTCTGCAGCATTGATTCCTTTCCTTTCCATTATGACCTGCAATAGATAAATAATGCAATAAATAAATTTAAAAAAAACAACAGGGGTACAGTTTATAATAGACCGTTCTGAGTAAGGCTAAGTCGTACCATAATGCAATTCAAGCTTATCTTTATGGTATCAAGGTGATAGGGGCACCACAGAAATCTTCTATTTTAGGATACGCCTGAAAGCATATGCCAACTGCAAAAGGTACAACTGAAACAGGCTCTGCAATAGGTTTTGTTTTATCAAGACAATTTGATTTTGATGGTATGTTAGTGCTAATATATTTTGGATTTGACTTTATGAGGGGGCGTACGCTTTTGGGGATTAAATGTCCTCATACGACACCAAAGTTGGTGGCACGGCAACGAGACGACATAAGGCTTGCTATATTATCTTAATGACACTTTCTGCCCTTGAAAACTGAGTGTCTTGTATTCCATAACAAAAAGGTGGGCTGCGGTACCCTTTTTTTTGTATCCCAACGGCCAAATCAAATCATAAGTAGCCCTGTTTTCAAGGCGAATCACTCTACGTACAATTCTCGCCAATTGTCTCCCTTTATTTGGCGAGTGATCCAATAAATCGAATCTACAACGTCTAGTTTTGTCTCCCTAGCCTGTACAATGGGTGGTGGGGCGGTTAGGGTTGGTAGCTGGGAGGTGGCTGGTGGGGTGAAGGGTTGTGGTTGGTGGGTGAGAGTCTATTACGGGATGTGCGGATTAGATGTTGGTCAAAGTTGTATAAAACGTGATCGACTTTTGTAGGTTTTAAGTCACTACATCCAGAGGCGTAGCGTGGTGGGGGCAGGGGGGGACAGATGTATCCGGGCGCCAGCTAGTTAGGGGCGCCAAAATGAGCTTTGATATTATTTTATTGAGAAAATACTGGGTTTGAGAGTTGAAAAAAAGAAAAAGGGGTGCTAAAAATGGATCTTGTCCCCGAGCGCGAATCTTGTCCCCCGGGCGCCAAACACCCTCAGTACGCCACTGACTACATCAATGATACCCATGGAATGACGTTCTCTTGCTGTTGAATAATAACATTGATGGCTTTACATACAAACGTCATCAACTCTCTCTTGCTTGTTTTTACCTCAATAGCTTCTTTTAATAATCTTTCCATCACACATTTCAAAGCGAAACATTGTTATTTATGAAAATTATGGTGTATACTTTCATTATATTATATTCACGCTTATTCACACGAATTAATGGTCGTCAAATTTCTTTTTGAATGCGCTATTTTGTTTTACTAAATAGTGCGTTCATAAAGAAATTTGACGCGAATTTGAAGCCAATTTGATCATGTGAACTGACCATAAATCTCATTTCTTTCAATTTCTATTAATTCAATCAATTCTTTTACTTAGAGATTAGATCCTGAAATTGGAGGGAATATGTGCAAAAGAGTGTGGGGGGGGGAGGTTTGCTGTGGGACACTCTCCTTCATGCATTTTGGGGGTGGGGGGGTGCTGTGGGGACACACTCTCCTTCATGCAGAGTGGGGGTGGGGAGTTTCTGTGGGACACTCTCCTCAATGCATTATGGGGGGGGGGTTGCTGTGGGGGACACTCTCCTTCATGCATT